TTAGGTATTTGCAGTGGATGCATGGCCCCTTCAGGTCGCATGTGAGTTCGCACTTGACAGAAAAAGCAGAGCCAGAAAATGACACATACCGGCTTCCATTGCAAGATTCAAATCCACAGCCTGTGCATATCACAAGCGAATGTGTGGTGTCAAGTACTGCTTGCGCCTCATCTGGCGACATCACAGCACACTCCTTGTAAAATTTGCCTCTCAGAAACACAGAGCAGATCACTGGCCCCGTCTGGTCACTTGCTTGCTTGAATTTGACCAACTTTGGCAGCAGCATGTGGTCCACGCATTCTCCCTTCTGTTCGCAAAGGCCAAAGAAAACAGTGCCTGGTTCCACAGAAAAGCATAGCCTGTTCCAGCAGGTGTCAGGTAGGCGGAGATTTCCGGAGATATAGTCCACTTTTGCTTCGTCTGGAAGCTCACCTTGTGCTGTTGTTTCGCCGGCGTCTTGCTGGTTTGATGGTCCAGCGTCGTTTACGGCAGTCCTCTTCTTTTTCTTTGCAGGAGGCGGGCCTTGCTCGCATAAGTTCCGTTCCTTCCTTTTAATAGGGGCTTTCTTCGTGAAATATTTTGGCGCATCCGGAAACACCGTTGGAATGGCGTCGCTCTTCAGCTGTGGCCGATCCCGCGGCATCTCGACAATTTCACCGCCGATTATATGCCGAAACGTCCTATCAATGAAACGTTCCTCGAAGTGCCGCTCACAAACAGCGCAGTCGCTTGTCAGGTCCTTGTCCGCCCGTTTTATGTTTTGTGCCCATTGCACTCGTCGGAAAGCGTCTTTCGGCGGTCGAAAAAGCGAAGCCTTCACCGTGCATGACTTGTACCCACTTTTGCAGCCCGGCACATAACAGGTTCGTCCTTTCAACGGCATAGCGTGCTTGCACAGAAGTCATACGAGAAAGCGCAAACAACACACCTGGAAAACGTGGAAAACAGCCAAAACCGCAGAACTCGCAGCAGCCTCGAAAGAGCGCCGGCGACCGCGAACCAACAGATCACCCGAGACCGCTGACTCCCCTGCAGACTGCAGCGCCCCTCGCGGTGGCGAAAATTTTCATCGCAACTCGCGCCCCTCTCCGACATGGCGCGCATACGGCGCCCGTCACACTTCCCCTTCCAGCCACCATAGCCCTAACGTCAATGCGGCTTTGGTTCACAGCACTGGCTGGCACTGGCCGGCTAGCCAGCGGCGCTGGTATGTAAGGATTGGATTGGATTAAATAAATAATCTGCCTTAGTTTATATTAATACTATTATTACTCAAAATAGTTTTAGAACATTTAAAAGCATAGAAACTTACCATGTTAAGTTTATTTATTGTTAAGAAAAACATTGTCCGTCGTTGGTTGTTTTTCTCCACTCTGGCTTGCAGCTACGAAATCCAACCCAATCCGACGTCAATAAACCGAAACCGAAACTACCGCGGTACAGGGCTCAAAGCTATGAAGCAAACTCTCGTTTATCTCGGCCTCGCTTCCCATGGATTTGGTTTTCTCATTTTATGACTTTAAATATGCATGTCATAAAATGGTTGAGTTTGATAGCTGAAACTGTTAAACTGAAATGACCTAATATGTGATTTTCTGATTAAAATTCTTCATTGAAAAAAATATCACAGTTTAGTTTCGCGGTGAGCGCGTTCCCGTCGAGGTCTGATAATTTCTGGTCGCGTTAAATAGACCGATCTCACCGGCCAGTTTGACTACGCCACCGCTGCCGCAATGCAGCGAGGGAACTTTAGTCTTTGGGCACGTGCGACAACCTCGCTGGAGCTCTTCGCGTGCAGAGCACGAGAAGGCACGAGCCCTCGCGTGCACGGCCGTCTGCCTCCTGTGAACTAAAGTTATGGCGGCTTTACGCATGCGCCCAACGCTTAGTGAGATCGGTCTATTGTGTATACCGCTAGAGCCTGTACAAGGTTACCGACCGCCGGTTTAAGTGCCGGCGCCGGTAAGGCGTTACCGGTCGCTCCGATACGTGGTTGCTGTTAGCCGCGCATCGATTACTGGCCACTGGTACGTTATTACGGCCCACCAGTGTGGCGTACCGGCTTCGCCTGTACGTGTTCACTCGCCGCCTGTACATGATATGGGCAACCGATACGGCGTATCGGCTTCGCCGGTACGTGGTTACCGGTTACCGGTGTGGCCTACCGGCTGTTCCCGTACGCGTTTACCGGCCGCCTGTACATGGTATGGGCAGCCGGTACGGCGTATCGGCTTCGCCAGTACGTGGTTACAGGTCTCCGGTACAGAGCTACCGGTTACCGATATGAGAATACAGGACTCCGGTGTGAACCGGTATAGGCCGGTATACATTTGTACAGGTTTTTTCAGTAGGATGATGAAGTGGAGCGAACGGAATAACAGGAAAGAAAAACAGAAGGTCGGTTATGGCGGCGCCCATGCACAGCTGCCTGAAAGCGACGCGAAAATCGTTCCGAGATGATGGCGAGGCACATGCAGGGATGATAGATTGTCGTACATGCCTCGCCATAGTGTTATGTATCGTAATATTACTAATCTAAGTGACCAGGTAGCACTTCAAATTATCTTAATAGTATTCAAACCTGGTGCAATATTTGTGGAAAATGTCATTAAACATTGATAAGTGTACATTAGTTTCCTAAACAGGACAGGTATATTTCAAATTTCGTTGAAGTATCACTTTACTGACACCCCCAAATAATAAGTATAGTTTTATTATTTAATAATAAAAATATTATTTAAAAATAGTTTTAATAAATTAAAAAAAAAACGCACCTGCTGTAAACCAAGGGTCTAGGAGAACTCGTCACAAGCCAACTCGTCGCAGCCAACTCGTCACAGGTAAACTCGTCAAATAGGGCAAGTCGTCATAGGGCATCTCGTTCACGGGGAAGTAGTAACAGAGGGCAACTGGGCACTAGTCCATTTCGTCACAATTTAACTTTTTCTCGGATCTTGCGTTTGCAATTCGGCTTTGATAACTGATGACAAATAGTAAATTACAACTAAAAAATAAAAGCACGACATCGTTTTATATAGATTTTTCTCAAAAAGAGCTTCTGCTGCCATCTCGAAGCGTTTGTGCGTATGGCGCCTGCTTTGCTCGCTTTCCGAAGCGGCAAACACGCACGTGCTGGGCTGTAAATATCGCACGCTTGGCCGTACCTGAGTATGGTGTATCGTCGGGGACAAGTAAAGAACGCGCACGTTAGCTTCCGCCGTGCTTTGGTTGGGCGTGCGCGCTCGTGCTAGCAAGGGAAGCAAACTCATTGACCCATGACCGACTGTAACAACCACTCTGAAACGGGAAAATATTGGGTCTAGGAGAACTGATCACAAGCCAACTCATCATAAGCAAACTCATCAAGTAGGGTAAGTTGTCATAGTGCATCTGAGGGCAAAGCTTCCGAAAGGTTTTAATAACAAAGGGACGTCGTAAGTAAAGATAACACCGAAAAGCCGACCACAACCGACCCCTGCAAACAAGCAAAAGGAGAGGCCAAGCTTGAAACTGCGACAAGTTCGATGCGACCACTTTCCAAAATAAAGCCCCCCCCCCCCCTTCCCCTCGCCCCTCTAAAAAAAAGTCTGTGACGAACTTTCCAAGAACGAGAAGGGCACTGCGACCACTTTCCCTACTACGAGTTCACCTAGAACGAGATGCCCTCTTTGACCAGTTCACCTATGACCGGTTTCCCTATGACGACTTGGCTGTGACGAGTGGGCCTGTTCCCGTAAACCAAAACCGACACTGTACTGGGGAGGAAAGAGAAATGTAGAGGAGGAGAGAGTTGCCGGAAATCACGTAACTACACGCGACCGCATTTTTTTTTCTTTTTTTTTTTTTCTTTTGTTGTTTTGGCGGTGCAAAGCAGAGGGGGGGGGGGGGGGGGGGGGGTCCAAAGGAGAGGAAAAACGCGCTCGTCGCAGATTGCATAAAAAACGCAAAGATCAAGCACTTTGTGTTCGGCGTTTGCGCATTTTCCAAACTACCACCACTTATAAGGCGAGCGATATTTTCAGCCAGGAGAAGGGGCGACGACTGGGCGACGTCTTCGTGCGAATCAGGTTGGTGGTCGGAATAAATCCTAATACTTTTTAATGGTAAAAGATTTGTCTTTCGAGGCTTGACAGATTCGCCAGTACCGCGAAGAACAGCTCTAAGGCAGAGGTCCCACACCCGTCTTCCTCCACCACTGCTTGGTCCGCTTTGTTCAACCGTCCAGCACGCGAGAGTTCTTCCAATTCTATGTGCAACTTTTTTTTTCGATCAACGTATTTGAAACCTTTTAGAAGCCACAAAAAAGGAGTATCATATCTTTTTTTTTTTTCTATTTTTAATATTGAGTGAGCGCCTTCAATGACCCGCGACTTTGATTATATTTGATGCGTGTGTCTTAAGTTCTAAACCTTACAGAAGGTCTTGTGACCACGAAAAAGAGTGAGCGCACCTCGAACCGGCCAGTTCTCGATCGGCGGTTTTCGGGCGGAAAAAAAAACGAATTTCTTGTGTTCCGGGTAGTAGGGCTCACAATAAAAACGTTGGCGAGCGTAAATACACTGTCAATGTCCCTTTAATTATCACCAGATTGGACGTATTCGAGTCGATAAATAATAACGCTTAGAGTATCCGCACTTTATTTCACGAATTTTGTCCGCTTAGTTATTTTCTGCGCTTAATGCAGAGCGGGCTCAATGACGATCGTTACGATTTGAAAATGCGTCTTTATGTGCATTCGATAGGGTGTCACGAAGCTCAGACGATATTATTGCGTGATGTCGCGGACTGTCTTAGACGTAAAGCCCTTTCCTGCAATTGCAGATAAAGCTTCAGATAAATGGCAACACTGATTTGAAGCACCAAGGTGGATGAAGTGTCGTTTCTTTGAAACGTGGCTTACTTAGTGAGCTCCACCAGATATGAACATGGGTATACCAATCTCGAATGCTTAGTTTACAGGCACCTGAAATGAGGCTGAATTGACAGACATATTCACTCACCAAGGATGAGGAGCACGTTCTTCTGCTTTTGAGGCACTACGAACTTCACAAGGCAGAGGGCGATTAGCAAAGCGTAAAAGAGACGCGGCAGCATGACTTCTTTCCAAGGTTCACCGACAATCTTCCGGCCCAGATAAGGAAGTTATCGGGTTCTATTTCAGACGCGCTTCACACAGTCCGTGCCTCTGGATTGCCGTGTACCGCGCGTGTCAACCGATGTTTGAAGCACCGTGTCGCTAGGGCAGACAACTGTGGTGAACAACCGTGAGCGTACAGCACGTTTGAACACGGGCGCAATGCTCCGAAGGTCGAAAGCACGGGGGGCGGATACATGAGCTATCCGAACCTGGCGCTAGCCGGTGCGGTAAAAGTTCCGCATGGGGTGCCTCCGACCAACACCACTTAGAAGATAATGCCTGCACATGACGTCATCGTGAGCGGATCCCCGACCGACCCGCCCCATGCGGCAAACGCACTGAAGTTTGACAAGAGGCGCCGCAAGGCGGCAGACACGTCCGTCTTGGCCGCCGCGTGCCATATCAGTTGCGGAACTGGCCATAAACGCTGCTTCCACAAGCAGTCCCCCTTCTCCAACCCCCCCGCCCGCCTCCCGTAACGTTCGACGCGCCACCGCTGTGGGGGCGGCTACTACGGTAAGTGCAGTGTATTCTATGGAACATTTGTGCTTGGAAACACAACGTCTTCACGGCATTTCACCGTACTCTATGGGCACACAGCCTTGTGACGAAAGACCAGACGGCACTTTAAACGACGGGACGCGAACTCAGCTCTGCGGGAGATCCGCAACTGAGCTAACCTATCGCTGGTGTTGCAGCCTGCTAGACGCAATGGCGGCGATGCTGTCGCGAGCTAGGCGGCGCTGCGTGTACCCACCAGTGATGACGTTCGGGGTGGGGATGTCCTTTTTCCTTTATGTGGTGTTGCCAGCATAGGCGGAGGTCAGCGCTGGATATCCTGACTTAACCAAGTACCGCCATCGTTCTATCGTGCCGCGGACGCTCCTATTGGAAGCCGACCACACGTCGCCATTTTTGGCTCATAGCGCATCCAATATCTAGACGCGCACGCTCCTAGTAGTCCGTTGTGACTGCCGGTGACGCTCCGCCGTTGGAGAGCGCGCTCCCATTGGTCTACTGGAGGTGCCGACGCCGCGACGAACTTGATTGAGGGCGACGCTCCGCCATTTTTGGCACAAATACGTCCGAGTGTGCGCCAGCTTGGCGGTACTTGTTCATAAAATTCAAATTCATCCAGCGATTTAAGACGGAGGCTACTGGGGGAACATGCCCCCCCCCCCCCCCCCCCCACCCCTCGCGAAGCATGGGCGTTTCTACTGCGGGGGCGCTTGGGGCTCTCTTCGAAGTTTTCCGGGGAGGGGGGGGGGGGGGGGGGGGGGCGGTGGCAGGTTGCATATCTCCCGTCTCAAAATTCTGCCGACTCTCGGACATCGAGCGAGCCTTTCCACGGCGCCGTGTTAGAGCGCAGTTAAGGGCTGTTTATACTCCAACGTAACGTCGACGGGCGCGCGCGCCCAACCGCGTTGCGTGACGTTGCTACGAAAGGAGAGTTTATACTCTGACGACAGGTGGAACGCCTCGCAACGTAACGCGCCCCGGCGCGCGCCGGCGAAGCTCACGTCGAGGCGGGCTGTTTATACTCCAACGTAACGTCGACGGGCGCGCGTTCCCGAGCGCGTTGCGTGACGTAGCTGCGGAAGGAGAGTTTATACTCCGAACACAAGTGGAACGCCTAGCAACGTAACACGCCTCGGCGCGCGCCGGCGAAGCTCACGTCGAGGCGGGCTGTTTATACTCCAACGTAACGTCGACGGGCGCGCGTCCGAGCGCGTTGCGTGACGTAGCTGCGGAAGGAGAGTTCATACTCCGAACACAAGTGGAACGCCTCGCAACGTAACGCGCCCCGGCGCGCGCCGGCGAAGCTCACGTCGAGGCGGGCTGTTTATACTCCAACGTAACGTCGACGGGCGCGCGTTCCCGAGCGCGTTGCGTGACGTAGCTGCGGAAGGAGAGTTTATACTCCGAACACAAGTGGAACGCCTCGCAACGTAACGCGCCCTGGCGCGCGCCGGCGAAGCTCACGTCGAGGCGGGCTGTTTATACTCCAACGTAACGTCGACGGGCGCGCGTTCCCGAGCGCGTTGCGTGACGTAGCTGCGGAAGGAGAGTTTATACTCCGAACACAAGTGGAACGCCTCGCAACGTAACACGCCTCGGCGCGCGCCGGCGAAGCTCACGTCGAGGCGGGCTGTTTATACTCCAACGTAACGTCGACGGGCGCGCGTTCCCGAGCGCGTTGCGTGACGTAGCTGCGGAAGGAGAGTTTATACTCCGAACACAAGTGGAACGCCTCGCAACGTAACACGCCTCGGCGCGCGCCGGCGAAGCTCACGTCGAGGCGGGCTGTTTATACTCCAACGTAACGTCGACGGGCGCGCGTTCCCGAGCGCGTTGCGTGACGTAGCTGCGGAAGGAGAGTTTATACTCCGAACACAAGTGGAACGCCTCGCAACGTAACGCGCCCCGGCGCGCGCCGGCGAAGCTCACGTCGAGGCGGGCTGTTTATACTCCAACGTAACGTCGACGGGCGCGCGTTCCCGAGCGCGTTGCGTGACGTAGCTGCGGAAGGAGAGTTTATACTCCGAACACAAGTGGAACGCCTCGCAACGTAACGCGCCCTGGCGCGCGCCGGCGAAGCTCACGTCGAGGCGGGCTGTTTATACTCCAACGTAACGTCGACGGGCGCGCGTTCCCGGGCGCGTTGCGTGACGTAGCTGCGGAAGGAGAGTTTATACTCCGAACACAAGTGGAACGCCTCGCAACGTAACACGCCTCGGCGCGCGCCGGCGAAGCTCACGTCGAGGCGGGCTGTTTATACTCCAACGTAACGTCGACGGGCGCGCGTTCCCGAGCGCGTTGCGTGACGTAGCTGCGGAAGGAGAGTTTATACTCCGAACACAAGTGGAACGCCTCGCAACGTAACGCGCCCCGGCGCGCGCCGGCGAAGCTCACGTCGAGGCGGGCTGTTTATACTCCAACGTAACGTCGACGGGCGCGCGTTCCCGAGCGCGTTGCGTGACGTAGCTGCGGAAGGAGAGTTTATACTCCGAACACAAGTGGAACGCCTCGCAACGTAACACGCCTCGGCGCGCGCCGGCGAAGCTCACGTCGAGGCGGGCTGTTTATACTCCAACGTAACGTCGACGGGCGCGCGTTCCCGAGCGCGTTGCGTGACGTAGCTGCGGAAGGAGAGTTTATACTCCGAACACAAGTGGAACGCCTCGCAACGTAACGCGCCCCGGCGCGCGCCGGCGAAGCTCACGTCGAGGCGAGCTGTTTATACTCCAACGTAACGTCGACGGGCGCGCGTTCCCGAGCGCGTTGCGTGACGTAGCTGCGGAAGGAGAGTTTATACTCCGAACACAAGTGGAACGCCTCGCAACGTAACGCGCCCTGGCGCGCGCCGGCGAAGCTCACGTCGAGGCGGGCTGTTTATACTCCAACGTAACGTCGACGGGTGCGCGTTCCCGAGCGCGTTGCGTGACGTAGCTGCGGAAGGAGAGTTTATACTCCGAACACAAGTGGAACGCCTCGCAACGTAACACGCCTCGGCGCGCGCCGGCGAAGCTCACGTCGAGGCGGGCTGTTTATACTCCAACGTAACGTCGACGGGCGCGCGTTCCCGAGCGCGTTGCGTGACGTAGCTGCGGAAGGAGAGTTTATACTCCGAACACAAGTGGAACGCCTCGCAACGTAACGCGCCCCGGCGCGCGCCGGCGAAGCTCACGTCGAGGCGGGCTGTTTATACTCCAACGTAACGTCGACGGGCGCGCGTTCCCGAGCGCGTTGCGTGACGTAGCTGCGGAAGGAGAGTTTATACTCCGAACACAAGTGGAACGCCTCGCAACGTAACACGCCTCGGCGCGCGCCGGCGAAGCTCACGTCGAGGTAGGCGCTGCTCGAATCTCGGCGTCGGCCGACGACGGTCGTCACCCAGAATTCCTCGCGCGAGCGTCAGTTGGAAAGAAAAATGGCGAACGGAGGTGCCGCGGAGTGCGAACCGAGTGATCTGACGACGGACGAGGTTGAGCGGCTCATTGAAGCGGTGAGAGAGCGCGAGTGTCTTTACGACATCGGTTCTCTAGAGTACAGGGATTCCAAGGGAAAAAAGAATGCCTGGGAGTCCGTGCGCATTGCCTGCGGCATGAAGCCCGGTAAGTTGACTAGGGTGCTTTCATGTGCGATTTGATTGGGGTGACTACATTTGGCCATTTTGTTTCGAACGCTTATTTATATATATATATATATATATATATATATATATATATATATATATATATATATATATATATATATATATATATATATCTTTTGTGTGTGCTGAAGCGCGTGAAAGAGCGTGTCCCTGCGCGCGCTCGTGGCGCTGACTGTGCTACGGCCACGGTGTAGCTACGGCGACATTTTGTTTCCTGCGATTTCTTTGTATTTTTCCTGTGAGCGCGTGCTGTCGCCATCGGGCACTACAAACGATGGCATCATCCAAACAGAAAGACATTGAGGCGCTCTAGTTATTTAGGACTTCAAACAGAAGAGCAGTGCAAGCGGCTTAACTGATATGGCAACTTGTTCGGCATTTTATTTTTGTATCACGTCTGCATTTGGGAGAACTGAATTTGACATATTTATTTAAGGTGAGGACGCACGAAAAGCGTGGAGGTGTGTACGCGACAGGTATGTTCGGGAGGTCCGCGCCGTTGAAGCTGCCACAAGGAGTGGCAGTGGCTTCGTCCGGAAAAAACAATGGGCCTTCCTGGAAATGATGTCGTTTTACGAGAAACATATCCGACCCAGAAAGTATGTAAACAAAACTTGCAGTCCTCATTTGCTGTCTAACTAAATTTCTCTCCCATATGTTAATCCACTTGCAGGGCAACCACCAACGTAAAGGCACCGCCTGTGGGCGACACAGCACAGTGTCTATTAATTAAAATGATGGAATCTTCTCCTGACGACTCGACCATTCCCACTGACTTCGAACCTGCCCAAGAAGAGCTGCTGTGCAGCCCGGAGGCTCCTGTCCCAGCCACGCCGTCCACCTCGGGTGAATCAACATCAAGCACCTCGAGGAGGTCATCAGGCCAGTCACAAAGGTGCCCAGGACCCTCCCATTCTGCACGCAGAAGGGAGGCTGACACAATGGAGAGAGAACTTTTAAATAATTTAAGGAGTAAAATGACACAGAACGAGGCGCTTGCCTACTTTGTAGCACAATCTCTGGATCGTTGGGACGAGGTCACCAGTGCCCAATTTAGGGCTTGTGTAATGCAGATCCTGTATGAATATGAATGTAAATTTCAGCAGAAATAAAACGCCCCCGACCTTTGTGCATGTGAAGGCACACGTATCCGCTCATGTCTTGATAATATACACATTCTGTTAATATGAACTACATTTTCGAAGAGCAATCTCTGCTTATGCAATTCTACTACATCGTTAGAAGAACACATAATCTGTGAAGCAGTCCATGTTCATCTGAATATTATTAATTCTGTAGTGCTATACTTCAGAATTAGTTCTTGGAGGCAAGCTGCAGGATGCCTATCGCATAAAATAGCTTGAAAGAACACCTACAGACATTTTGCAAATTTACCCAAAGCGTCATGGAAGCGGCTTGGAATGTAGGTACACACGACTGTGGACGATAGCTTGCGCAGCGAGTGTACCTGCAAACCCGGCATTACCTTTGGTGCTTGTGTAAATTAGCAAAGTGTCTAGTGCACTTAATATCTTCCTACTCAGACACACAGCCTGCACTAATACCGTTAATCAAACATGTTTTCTACCCACTACATTCGCTTCGTGGGTGGCACGCATTGCTCGAAACCTGTTTATATTTCCGAGAGAAATGCGAGTAGAAAAGCAGGCTCATCAAAAGTACATCTAGAATGTTATTTTACTCCTTTGTGGTGTAAATGAAAAGATTAAACCCGAATTTTGTAATTAATACGCAAGCTGTCCTATTTTCCAAGTGAGCCACTACTACATTCCTGCGGGTTCACTTAATGAGAAGCCAATCATTTCGCATGCGTGCCTGTGTCTCAGTGGCAAGCGAAAAACATGGATGGCCAATATTCCTCGCTAGTGAAATTACCTCGCTCTCCCCTGTACAACGAAATTCACCAAGGTAGGCAGGTAAGCTCTTTGAAGGTGAAAACAATGAGGGATTGCAAAATATATTTCGCATGTCAACCCTGTCAAGCAAGCAGAGCAGAGAAAATATATACAATTTATTTGCAAGGAAAGAAAAATTTTAAACAGCATTGATAACAACCTTGTGTCGTCGTCTACTCCCTCGTCACTATGTCGTGTTGCCACGGGATGGCTCCCCTAGGGGAGATGAAGTGGTCTGCCAGCTGGTCCCTGATGCTGATTGCTGCTGGGCTGCTGTTGCCACCTAGGCTCCTGTTGACACCAACATTCAAAATGTCAGCTCGCCACTGACCATCCACACTGGCACCCCTCCTTTCACTGTCAGCATATCCAGGAGGGCAGTAGGCTTCATCCCGAGTCAGGAAGTTGTGGAGGCAAACTCCCGCTTTTATCATGTTTTAACAGTGCTCAACAGTGCCATGCATTGGAGCCAGAAACGCCAGCCAGCGAGACAAGTATATATTCCGAAGGCGTTTTCTACTGTACGCCTGCCCCGGGAGAGCCTGTAGTTGAAGATCTTTTTTCGGTAGTCCAAACCTCTTCCGGGGAAAGGGCGCATGAGGTACGTTTTCAACGGGAAGGCTTCATCCCCCAGGAAGCACAGCGGTGGTGCAGGCTGTGAGATTACAGGGATCTGGAGGCTGTTGGCAGCTAACGCCTTTCTGAGGTTAGACTCTCTCAACACACCGCCATCGGTCTGGTGCCCGGCAGCCCCAATGTCCACCAGTCGAAACCTGTAGTGGGCGTCAACAATAGCCAGCAGCACCATCGAGTAGAATTTCTTGTAGTTGCGAGATATTGAGCCAGAGTTTGATGGGCACCTGATCGCCAAGTGCTTGCCATCTATTGATCCAATGGCGTTAGGAACGCTCCACTTTACGCATAACTCCCTCCGGATCTCTTCCCACTGTTGTGATGTGGGTGGCTGCAGCACTAACGGGGAGAGGCAGTCCAAGATGGCTGGCAGCGTTTTCTGGAGGATCCCGATAATGTTGCTCTATGCATCTGGTAACTTATAGCCACATGGCCCAGAGATCCTGGTGATGCAAGAAACCTAGAAATGTGGAAAAAAAAGTTGTGAGACTTAGTACCTAACTCAGAGCAACTGTTTGGTCAGTCATTTCCACTGTTTGTGACCGCGCGTTAAGAACGACCTACGAGAGTGCTCCGTCAGACTTATATTGCTACACACGCAATATGTAAATATGTACTAAATGTGTTTGACTGACGCTCTACGGTGCTTTGAAATAGTTTATACTCTAAAACCGCCCGCAAAAATCAAGGAATCGGCGCATGAAGTGGAAATTGACCTCGAATATGAGTTTTACTGACCTGATTTACCCATTAAAAATCCCTTCTGCTTCATTCTGCAGATTTTGGCCTTCCTTGGGACAGGGCTACCTCCTCCTCGACAGCCAGCCACCATCTCTGCACCGTCATCATGCACTGTATTCCTGGCGGCTATCGGTGACGACATCGCGCCCGTGTTCGATGCCACAGTTTCGTCCCTCCCCTTCGCCAAGCCAGCATCATCGTCAACGACAGCAGGATTCTCTGCGAATTTAAGCGCCTGGTCACCGCAGGACGCTTTCAGTGGGCACAGAGGAGCGGCGGCTATGCGGTCGCTTCAAAATCCCTTCTGCTTCATTCTGCAGATTTTGGCCTTCCTTGGGACAGGGCTACCTCCTCCTCGACAGCCAGCCACCATCTCTGCACCGTCATCATGCACTGTATTCCTGGCGGCTATCGGTGACGACATTGCGCCCGTGTTCGATGCCACAGTTTCGTCCCTCCCCTTCACCAAGCCGGCATCATCGTCAACGACAGCAGGATTCTCTGCGAATTTAAGCGCCTGGTCACCGCAGGACGCTTTCAGTGGGCACAGAGGAGCGGCGGCTATGCGGTCGCTTCAAAATCCCTTCTGCTTCATTCTGCAGGTTCGTAAATACCCATCTTTTCACGTTAAACGATCCTGTAATGGCTTTCTGCTGCTCCTCCAGTGCCCGCTGGTTTTTCTTAGAATTGCTTATATGTGTGTTCACGTTTTTAAGTTACTTTTGTTGTCTGGGGACGTTGAATTAAACCCCGGCCCTATCACTAACGCTGATATTCTGGCTGCCATTGCTGAACAGTCTTGTAAAAACGATGCTCGTCATACCGAAATGGTTGACATGCTAAATCAGGTCAAAGTTAACCAGCATCAGCTAGAATTAAAAGTGTTAGACATCAATTCAAGACTTGCAGCAGTCGAATCACTTGTAGAATTACTAGATGTGCCAAAGCATCCTACTGAACTGTCTAATGTTGTTAGTGAGGCCGTCCGAGGCGAAACTACCGTTCTGAATTCAAGACTTAATGAGCTTGAAGATAGATCCCGTTGTGACAATTTACTTTTCTACGGTATCGCCGACACCCTTTCCGAAGACTTGTCGCAGTCAGAATCTCATATCCGCGATAATCTTTCCACAATATTAGGACTAGATCTACCTGGCGAGGCAATATCCCGTGCTCATAGATTAGGCTCATACTCAACTAATAAATGCCGGCCAATAATTGTTAAATTATCTTCCTCTAAATTCAAGGCGAATGTGTTTTCTCAGCGTTTTAAGTTGAAAGGAACAGGAATTTCAGTCAGTGAGGATTTCTGTCCGGCTACGCGGCAGTTACGTAAAAAGTTAATCGATTTCGGTAAAGGCACCGGTCAGAGGTTCTCGCTCAAACAAAACAGGCTGCACGTTAATCAAAAGGTGTATACTTACTGCCCTGTAACAGATTGTGTTTGCGAAGTGACTCCTAGTCACGCTCGTGAAGCTAACAACGCCGCGTCTCTCCCTCCGGGTGCCAATAATACAGTTTCCGCGCCGCAACCGGGCACCGATAACGCAGTTTCCGCACCTGGTCCAAGCAATTATAATTCACACGCGTCATCAACATAACTATGTAAAGGCCCGGTGACTAACGCTATCTCAATATTGTATTCTAACGTGCGAAGCGTATGCAACAAACGCGACGCTTTGTCATCTCTTATCGACACGTGTACAGCTGATATTGTTATCCTGACCGAAACGTGGCTTTCTAGTAAAATTGCTGACAGTGAAGTTTTTGAGTGTGAAGGTATGTACAAATTTTATCGTTTCAATCGTGACTCGCGCTCAGGTGGCGGTGTTCTTATCGCTGTTCGTGATTCTATAATATCGAGCGTTATACCACTTAACCTATCATTAGAGTTCGTGTGTGCCCGTGTACATGTCAG